GAGCCCAATGCATTTGTTTTGGACAAATCCCTCTGTGAGGTTTTAATCCTGTCTGCATATTGTATTATTTAAAAAACTGGTCAAAGGGATATGTAAGATTTGTGCGTATATATAAATATATATATATATATATATATATATATATATATATATATATATATATATATATATATATATATATATATATATATATATATATATATATATATATATATATATATATATATATAAATATATATATATATATATATATATATATATATATATATATATATATATATATATATATATATATATATATATATATCATATATATATATATATATATATATATATATATATATATATATATATATATATATATATATATATATATATATATATATATATCATATATATATATATATATATATATACATATACATACATATACATATACATATATATATATACACTCAAACAAAAACTAAAAATACATTAAATAGAATAAGCATTAAACGAAAAGTTAAATATGATTTATCGACCTATTTAAATTTAATTTAACTTGATGTGCTAATAAAAACATTAAAACTACAGACATTATTTTATTTAAACTTGAAAAATAATTAATAAAAAAATTCTTAAAATTACTAAAACTATTTATTTATCAAAACTAAAAGCCAAATAATAATAGCAATAATTATTCATTCAAATTCTTACAAAATAAAACTACTATAGTGATATCTTAAATAGCACTGTTCACAAATACTGCCAGTAGCCACATATAACAATATATAAATGGAAAGACTATAAATAATAAATTCAAGATGATGTAAAGGAGTACAATGACACTAAAACACAAAAACAAAGCAACAACCCCTATAAATAATGCAAAAGCAGCATCACTAATTCAAACCAAGCAAACACCTCTTCTATTCACAAACTAGAAGTAACTAGTCAATAATCAGAGTTTTTGTGACATGAAGACATTTTTGCGTCATGGTGTCATGTGAAGATCTAGAGCTAGAACTGAAAGTCGCACAGCAAAACCTGCCGCACCAGATTCTGTACTGCAGAAAATGGCCACTGAGTCACTTCCTGTTTCTGCTCCACCACAAAGCATCCTGCAGTGGCTTACAAAACTACTAAACACGCAAAAAAATCTGTTTAAACAATGAAATAAGTCTATAAATACTGCTAATCAACTTATCTACAATGAAAGATAAGAAATAATGTATAGAAAGTGACAAAAATAATACATTTACTGGCTAACTAGTAAACTGATTATGTCTGTGTGTGTATGTATATATAGGACTGGGCAATATTGCAAAAACAAAAAAAATGATCACAATATCACGTTTCATATCATTCAGCATCGATAATTATTGAATATTTCTTAACAATCCATCTAGTAATATTAGGATACTTATATTTTAGGACCACTATTTTTTAAATTTAACTTACCAACATTACGAAGGCAAATAGTTTTTATAATTACAAATAATTTAAACAAAACATCTGATCTGAAGTGTTAAAGAGACTCTTAAACTTGATAAAATGTTAAGTGTGTGTAATGCTAAAGTTTGAACGCTGAACAATCGAAGCAAACTTTAAGGTATGAATAATAATGATAAAATTTATCATAAATTTATCATAAAAAATATTTTCCCAACAACAATATTGTGGCTAGTGAAAATCCAGAGTGGCTAGTAACGTTGGAAAACTACTAGCCACAGTGGCTGGCGATCAAAAAAGTTAATGTAAAGCCCTGTGTGTTATATATATAGTACATGCATCCAAAATAAAAGTTCTTTTAAAATTAATATACGTTTATATTACTTGTGTACTTTTAAGTAATTTAAGTTGATCCAGCGAGTAATTTTCAAGGTAATGTAAATGCAGAAAATGAAAAAAAAAACAATAATATTCATCTTTAAATGTGCGAGTGTATATATTTATGTCTATGTATGTATATGTAATACATACTCGTACATAAAAACAAAACTATATTTACATGAATATTTATTCAGTTGAAGTCAGAATTATTAGCCCCCCTTAATTATTAGCCCCCCTGTTAAACGAAGTGAAGATTTTTTCAACACATTTCTAATCATAATAGTTAATAACCTCATTTATTAATAACTAATTTATTTTATCTTTGTCATGATGACAGTAAATAATATTTGACTAGATATTCTTCAAGACACTTCTATACAGCTTAAAGTGACATTTAAAGGCTTAACTAGGTTAATTAGGTTAACCTAGGCAGGTTAGGGTAATTAGGCAAGTTATTGTATAACAGTGGTTTGTTCCGACTCTCGAAAAAATATATAGCTTAAAGGGGCTAATAATATTCACCTTAAAACGGCTTTTAAAAAGTAAAAACTGCTTTTATTCTAGCCGAAATTCTCAATGTAATATTGAACCGTTCGGTACAACATTTACAGTTTAATACGCGCTCAATTGTGTGGTTGTTTGGTTTAATGTTTAAATAATTTATGTGCATTTTATTTCTCTCCAAATTTACTGTTTGTGTGTGCCTGTAAGTCTACGAGCTGAGATGAGGAAACTCCTCCCCATGAGCAAATATTCAGTCACTCTGGGCTTTATTTTGATGGTCCATGCGCAAAGCGCAAAACGCAGAGCGCAAATGCTTTCAGGGCGTGTCAGGACGCGTTTTTGCTAATTTAAGGACGGGAAATCTGCCTTGCGCTTCGGTGCATGGTCTAAAAGGGTTGAGTTTATTTTCTTAATAAGTTATAGGTGTGTTTTAAGAATAAACCAATCAGAGTCTCATCTCCTATTCCCTTTAAGAGCCAGCTGCGTCGCAAAGTACAGGACGCAAAGTATGTCCAACTAGAAAAAACTGAGCATTTCACAAGCAAACAGTTGACAGTTTTTTAACAGAAAACTGTTAAACAGAGCATCTACTGCGTGAGAACGAGAGATAATGGATCACTTTCACTTCCGCTCTTGGATAGGGAAACCTTTACACACAGACATCAATTAGTCTATAAATAAATAATTTTGTTTGTTAAGCGCAAATATTCGTTTCAAAACTATTTCTAAATTCAGTTCTAATTTCCAGCAAACGAATAAATGAACAATAATAACAAAATGTGCTCAAAACCTGAGATATATCCTAAAACACATGCTGTGCCCCATATGGTCTAAAACCTGACAGGTGGGCAAATCTAAGCCTGTTTTTAATAAAACAAATATTAATATGGATATAATAAATAATACTGCTAATAATAATAACATTATACAAAAGCAAATTGTTATGAATCAACTGAAAAAGCCTCCCGAGATGAAGAAGGCATGAAGGCAGGGATTTTTCATATTTATGTAGGCCAGAAAATAATATGTTTTGTAATATTTTAATCCTTTATATTTATATTCTATATCTATTCTTATTATATCCTATATTTATCCTTAATAATAAACTTTTTTCATATGTAAAGATATTTGCCTGTTGCTCTCTTGTGTGTATTAAGCAGTGTGTAAGCGAGGCACAACTCTGCACTGGAGTTTAGACCGGGTTAGTTTTGGTCTAATGAAAAATCTATTTTAGTTTCTCAAAATAGCAACGCGCCAGCGGTCCGCTTCAGAACGCCTTCCTTTTTAGAGCAGAACGCCTATGGGCGCACAAATGAGCGCTAATGCATTTGCTATTTAAACAGCGTAGCGCAACGCCTCAAAACCACTCTTGCGCCAAGCTTAAACTACCAAAAGACTACTGCGTCACGCCTTGCGCCACACTGCGCCGGGTGTATGATAGGGCCCTATGTGTTAAAGTTAGGTGATGCTAAACCGTCATTCCACACTTTAATATGGCGAGCGGCGGTGAAGTGAGGCAACAGTACGAGGAAGTGTCGGCGTCTTTCAAATCCACAGTGTGGGAACATTTCAGTTTTGCAGTTGAGTATAATGCCGAGGAAGAAAAAACTGTGAACAAAAAATGACTATGTGCATGCATTGTTTTACACCTATAGCCCACCAAAAAACAACAATGCCTTGCTGAATCCTTCCAGCAAACATACCCAACTCGTTCCGAGAGACATAAAAATAACAGAGGCAGTGTGGGTGTTTATTTGAAATGGTCAATTTATTTTTCTTAACTTCACATTCTCCTTAACCTCTTACTGTTCATATTGTCTAATAATAGAAAAACAAACAAAAAAAAAACACTTGTGTCAAGCCATCAGAACCGAAAAGAACACCATGTTAAAAAGCTGAGGTATGTATTGAACCATAGGCTAACTTTATGTATTTGTGTATGTATTTATATGCATGTATGTATATGTAACACATACTCATACATGATTAAAAAAAAAACTATATTTATATGAACATTTATCTATTTACAATTTGTTTCATTTACATTTATACTTTATATATTATTTATTTTTAGTGGGAAACTATAAACAAAATTAATTTTAATATTTTGGTCCTAAATGGCGATCAATAATTGCAGACTTTAAAATGTCATTAAATCATGATTCATCTTAATATGCCTGATAATATTTTGACTTTCATGACACTAATATTGGTATTAGACAGTCTCCTGGAAACCAGTGGAAAAATATTATATTATTTATATTTTGAACAGATTTTTTTTTTAAATAGGACACAATCTTTCACCTGCAACTTGATTTTGAATAAAAAATAATAAATAAAACACATTACTGTCGAGTTTTAATGCACTTACGGAGCGACTGTTCTCGAGTCAGAACCAAAATGGACACCTCTGCGGATCCCGTCTGTCCAGCTTCATCTGAAACTGTCAGTCTGAACTTATACATCCCCGGAGAAAGATTGGAGACTGTCACAGAGTCCGCAAAATGCCCTTTCTGACCACAAAAACAACAGAAGATTCCACATTAGAAACAACTCTTACACTACAATTAACTAGGCTCTTTTAATACATTTTACACTTAATGCAGCCTTATTTACCAGAGACAGAATCAGTGAAAAATCTGAATTCTTTGCCATTTCCGCACAGAATTTTGTCAAATATGTGCATTCATGCAGTATAATTTTGGTAGTATAGTACCTAAAAACATACAATATTAAATAAAAAAGTAATAACTTTTAACTTGTATTTAATGTTTACAGTGCAAATCTATTCAGATCTACTTGTTTAGTAAACAAAGCAAATCGTTCATATAATACTGTATATCTACTAAAAGACAGAAAATATGACTTTCCAAACTGTATTGTAAATACATCATATGAAAATGTGCATATTAGTTAATAAAATGACTGAAATTAATATAAAAACTGAATAAAAAGATATATTTAAACACACATTTACATAGGAAAATAATAGACTCATTAATGTGATGCGTGGGCCTAATAATGAGTAATATTTATGACAATATGGTTTGTATGAATCATCACACGTTTAGTTATTACATTTAAACTAAACGACCAATGTCACAATTTCACATTTCAAAAAAATAATTTTGCTGCTTGTCCAAACTACTTATTTTAAATGAGCTAAACCACAATTCTTGAGAATTTGTTGGGACAACTCAAATGTTTCAATTCAATCTGATAGTGTTGATACGATACTGGAGTTCGGTAATGAAAATTTAAAATCCTGTATTTCCCGCCAATATTTAAGAGCATTCTTAAAAACCGCTGATTTGCCATAGTGTTCACTCAACAGAACACTGGAGTGTTTTAAAGCCGTGAAGATCAGTCGATTCATCAGTGGATCGCTCGTATGTCAGCTTATAAACAGACCAGCTGATCTTCACGGCTTTAAAATGCTCCAGTGTCTCTGTATCTGTGATTACACTCCGTAAACAGCGGTGAGTTTGGTGCACTGATGACGTTCATGGCCAATCACAGTCATTTCTGTTGAGCATGTGAACACAACGGCAAATCAGCACTGTTTAAGAGCGAGCTCAACAGCGCTCAAATGTGAGCGGAAAATTGACGCTTTTAAAATTTCAGTATCAATTAGTATCAAATTCCAGTATCGCGACGACACTATAATAGACTTAAATTTAACTTAATTTGTGTTGGGACAGCATGAATGATGTGTATAAACCTGCAATTTTTACAGTGCAGGTGCAGAAATCAATATAATGCATTTTAACTTTACTACCAACTATTTTCTAAAGTTCAAGGTTATGATGAACTATAAAACATTCAAACTAATGCTACCAAAATATTAGTTAAGTGAAAGCAATTTACACAATCACAATAAATAAACAGTCTCCAATAATGCCATATACACAATGATGCCTATGCATGCATACAACACACAAACACATGGCACATACAATGCATTTAAGCCTTGTGTGCCGTTGAGGATGTTTTCATCCAGTCTAGGCTGGTCTTAATTTGGCCTCAGCTTTCTTTGTGTTTCAGCAAATGGAATTACTTTTGCTGACAAATCTTATTTTGACATGTATTTTGGAAAATGCTTTGAAAGTTTTCAAAAACTCAACAATACACCCTGGGAAAATTGACTTCCCTTTGGTTATGTTGGGGGCTGTTTTTGCCTCATTGACTTATAATCACGATTGTTGACTCAAGCCATGACAGCATATAATCATAATAATAATAATAATGCATTTTATTTAAAGGCGCCTTTCATGAAACTCAAGGTCACCGTACAGGACAGCTAAAACAATCAATTCAAATAAAAACACAATAAAAACAATAGAATACAATACAAGCTTTAAAAATGCGATCGGGTCAAAGAAAATAGGCTGCTCTAAACAGATGTTTTGAGTCTGGACTTAAATTGTGAAAGAGAGTCTAAATTACAGAGATCAGGAGGGAGTGAATTCCAAAGCTGAGGAGCAGAGTGGCTGAATGATCTGCTCCCCATGGTGACAAGGCGAACAGAGGGAACAGTGAGGTGAATGGAAGAAGAAGACCTGAGTGTTTGAGAAGGTGTGGCGATATGAACAAGATTAGCAAGGTATGGAGGAGCAAGATTGTGGATGGCTTTAAAAGGTAAGGAGAAGTATTTTATAAATAATTCTGAAAGAGATGGAAAGCCAGTGAAGCTGTTGTAGAATGGGTGTGATGTGACAGACCGAGGGGGTTTTTGTGATAATACGGGCTGCAGCGTTTTGTACCAGTTGTAATTTATGAAGAGTTTTTTTAGGGAGGCCAAACAGAAGGCAATTACAGTAATCTATACGGGATGTGAATAAACTATTAACAAGAATGGCAGCTGAGTGAGGTGTGAGGGAATGACGTAAACGATTTATATTTCGAAGGTGGAAATAGGCGGTCCGGGTGACATTATTAACATGTGCAGTGAATGAAAGGGTGTTGTCGAAGATGAACCACAGACTCTTAACCTGAATGGAGGGGGTAATGACAGAATTCTTTGTGGAAATGGAAAAACTATGCGATTTATATAAAGTGGACCGTGTACCTATAAGTAAAAGTTCAGCCATTAGCCCCACAGCTCCCAGAACACAGTAAGTGTATTTCTACCCACACACTATAATCTGCTGCTTTACTCCATATAAAAGCCAGAAACTCTTTAGAACAGAACAATGTTAATGTTGCTAATTGATGAACGACATTAAAAATTAGACATTGTTCTTCCTTCCAAAAGGGAAAACTAGCAACAATCAAGAAAGCTTGATTATATGTGGTCATAACTTTGCAACCCAAAAATGTGACTATGATGGAAGTCAATCGGGCAAAAACAGCCACAAACATAATGAAAGGGATGTCAATTTGAACAATAAACAAGAAAACTGTTGATTACATCTCCTTGCAATGATAAAAATAATTTTTGGATATCTTATACTGGTCACCCACCGTCATTACAGCAGACGGGTCTCCGACCACTTGCTCCCATTCGTATTTCACAATCTTTTTATCATCCGAGCTCTCGATGCCATTGAGCGTCACATCTTCATTAGGTTGAACAACTCTGTCCTGTCCGGCCCTTGCACGCGGAGGTCTATCCTCTACATCTGTATGGAAATAAAACATTGAAGTCACGAAATATGACGCAATCAGCAAACAAAGACACTGGGAATTGCACAAGACGCCAAGAATGAAATTAAACAAGAGTTTAATACAAGCTAGCTCTTGTGTGCTGAAGATCAGATTAGAGTTAAGAGACTATTAAGGAATCTCACATATCCAGACGTGCAGAGGATAGAAACAATGATACTAAACAGACTGCAAAAGGGGTTTCTATATGGTTGATATACCAGGGGCGCAGCATATATTATCAAATTTATGCATAGAGGTGTGCAATATTTATTGGTCATGATTATTCAGTATTCAATCATGAAGCATTTGTGTATTGAGGCAGGGGTTCTCAAACCTTTCAGCCTGCAACCTGCAAAAAATACCAATGCCAGTGACTTGTGACCCCAAGTATCCTCTGAGGTGGTTATAAATATAGAAACCATGTATGCAACAGCACGCACACACACACACCAATAGGCCCAGGTCTAGGTTTAATTTATTTATTTATTTTTTTATTTATTTTTTTTTTTGTGTAGAGCACAAGTTTACAGAGACTGTATAAAAAGGCACATAACCATTTAAAAAAAGTCAGATGTTAATGTGACTAAACTGTTTCTCTTTTAGGTAAGTTAGGATGATCACATTAGTTTCTGTTCTGCTTAATAGCAGAATAATGAGAGAGATATTGTTTGAGAAATTGTTATAACTTTTCTTGAAAGTCAAGTTTACACACAATAAGATTATTCTGCCTCTGAAAAAGCTCAGATGATGGTGTCAGGGTTTTGGAAGTTTTTGATTGGCTAATTGACAACATTTGAGGCCATTGGAGGCACAACTGTAGAATAGTATTTAAGGAAAACCTCAAACACACTGCTTCCTTGTGTGACAACATGGTAAAATCAACAAGCCAGAATCAACAACAAAGCCAGATTACAATTTGCTGAATTACACTTGGAAAAAGACTCATTTTTGAAGACATGTCCTGTGGTCTGATGGAACTAAGATTGAACTGTGTGGCTATAATGACCAGTGTTACATTTAGAGGACAAAGCGGAAAGCGCACAAGCCTAGGAACACCATCCCAACTGTCGAGTATGGGGGCGGCAGCATCTTGTTGTGGGGCTGTTTTGCTGCAGGAGGGACTGGTCCACTTCACAGCATAGATGGCATCATGAAGAAAGAACATTATGTAGAAATACTGAAGCAACATCTGAAGACATCAGCCAGGAAAGTAAAACTTGGCACAAATGGGTCTTCCAAACAGACCATGACCCTCAGTATACTGCCAAATTAGTTCAAATTTGCTTTAAGGACAACAGAGTGAATGTTTTGAAGTGGCCATCACAAAGCACTGATCTCAATCCTATAGAAAACTTGTTGGCAGAGTTGAAAAAGCTTGTGCGAGTAAGACAATCTACAAATCTGACTCAGTTACACCAATTCCGTCAGGAGGAATGGGCCAAAATTACTGCAAAACTATTGTAAGAAGCTTGTAGAAGGAGACCCAAAACATTTGAACAAAGTTATACAGTTTATAAGCAAAGCTAAAAAAATACCAAGGAAATGTGTTTAAACTCTTGACTGTCTAGAAATTAATAAAACATTCTCAAAAAAATGTCTCTCTCATTATTCTGGCATTTAGCAAATGTAAATGACTTAGGTAATCCTAACAGACCTAAATAGTTTAAATGTAAAAATATTTCAGTATGATTTACCATCAGACATTTAAAAATATTGGTTTTGTGTTGTTTTTTAGTGTATGTAAACTTCTGGTTTTAACTGTATGTGAGTGCTGTAAATGTGCCAGACATTTTAACCTGGTGCCATAAACTCAATCTCCTGCATCTGATGCTATTACTGTGTCTTTAATATAATGTAATCATCCCAAGAATCGTAATCCAATAAAGGGGAAAAAAATCTAAAGGCTGTAACTATAAACTATTATTTTTATCTTCAGCAGGTTATGGATAAAATATGGTAATAATAATGGTTTAATTAAATTTATTAGATTTTTGGAAATCACTAAGCAACCATCCCTTTATTGTCCTGTGACCACCACTTTGGGAACCACTGTATTAAGGGACGTTTTTGACTGCTACGGCCTCCTGAATCACACTTTCAGCTTCAATTAACATAAAATAATTAGAGAAAATCTCATTTTTATGTCTTTAATCTACTAAGTTAAATGAACATTTGCATGAAGAGTCTATTTTCTATATTATTTGAAATTTCAGTAATAAAAAATATATACACAAATAGTAGATTATGTCAACTTTGTTACTGGAATACTTAATGTATTTAAAAACTATATGATGATGAAAATACATAAAACTGTGTTTTAGACATGCCATGTGGAGTCTGCTGTGAGGTTTACATCTGAAGATAAAGCACAAAATGCTGGAAAATGTCAACTAAGTTACTGGGTTAAAAATGTTTAACAATAGGTTAAACAACGAGTAACAGAACTGATTGTTCGTAACATAACTATGGATTTTTATATTATTCCAGGCAAGAATAAATGTATGGCAAATGTTGTGAAATGTACCTGCAATGCTGTCAACAGTAAACTAACTCTAAAATGTATCTTGATAGTCAAAACACTGACTATGTAATGAAGTTTATTAGAATAAAAAGTTATGACAGCAGAAGATCTGAGTTTAGTTTTGTGTTTCTAAATTTATAAGATATGTTATTCCGTAATAACATAAGAAAAAATGTTATTAATCAACTGATGTAATATTAATTTTATACAACAAGAAGCTCATATTGTATTGCATAAAATATATAAAACAATGTCTGTCTTTATTTGTTTTGCCAATAAAAATAATTTAAACAAAGCCAATGATTCAATCGGAGCAAAATATTTCATAAGTCACATTAAACAAATCTGTTTTGAACGAAACTTTGACATTTATGATTTCAGTCACTTACAAAGTCAAGGATCTACTAGGACTCTATATTTATCCACAACAGCAGCACTAAGTCAACCAAAATAAACACACATTGTCAAAAAAAAAACACACCAAGATTTCATTTTCTGTCAATATTGCACACCTCTGCATCTTTTTATCTGAGAAAACCCTTAGTCTCGCAGCCCAAATATAAATGATTTATCAAACTAAGTTTCTATCAAACTTAATGTCTGTAATGTAAACCAAATGCTGTTTATTATTAGTTTATACCATCAGCTGTCAGGGAAATAACTTGAAAACATGGAGATTTCAACGCCCCTGGTTGTCACAACCAGTTAAAACATGAAAAAATTACAAACTTCTGAAGATCAGCGCAGGTTCAGACATGCACAAGAGTTTTTAAGGTACTACTTCTAGCTTTAAAATGTACTTAATCAAAAACACCACATTTAAACATGATGGATATCCACCTTATTTTTCAACACTGATTCAATAAGCAATCTGTTTTGTTAATGTGGAAGACTTCCAATTCATTACTATTATTCATTAATGGAATAACAACTGCAGTACATGGTAAAATGTGTACCAATGTTGATGATTACAGATATTACTTTTAATTTCATTATAAAAAACAAACTGGGGATGAATCACACCATTCATTACAATTACAACTTATAATAATAAGGTGGATATTTCTTTCAGATCACTCAATTGTTCTTATGATAAACAAAATCTACAGAAATCTACAACAGGGCCCATATTCACAAAGCTTAAATCTTAACGCTAAGAGCTCTCCTGAATCAGTATAGGAAAAAAAGTCCCCTTTTACACAGTAAAAATCTCTTAAACCTATTCAGAAAGACAAAGTACAGGTTTCTAAAGAATTTTTGAACATACATAGTTAAAAATGCAGGGAAAGTGAAGAACTTCTTTCTAAAAAAATTGTGCTTCTTGCTTTTAATATTTTAGAAATTACATACAACATCTTCAAATAATATACATTTGCTCAAAATAATTAAGCAAATACATGCTTTAATGCTCATAAATAATTAAATATATATAAAATGGCCAAATTTGTATTTTTAGAGCACATGTTGGCATAAATATATTTGAGGCATTATTTAGTTTTTTTTAGATGTAACAACATATTTGAAAACACATTTCTGGAATACCTTTGTGATTAAGCTGACAACTTATTAAAAGTTCATTGGTTCAAATCAAAACATTAAAACATGTCAAATTTTTTTTTAAATGTCTTCTTTCCAAAGCAGATTTTTATAATCACATTTTAGGATATTTTGTGCCTTACTCTAAATGATTGAGGAGTCTCTGTACTAACTAAGATTTTACTGATTTAGGAGCTATTTCAGCACTAAAACAAATTGAGAAATACTTTTTGAGAAATCCTACAGTTATAACTGACACAGTCATTATTTACACTTTGTCCTTAATCAGCGAGTTCAGAGCTACTTTTAGCCTTAAGATGATTTGTGAATACGGCCCCATGTTTCTACACACATTTAGGATTGCTTTCCTTACCTGGAAGCTTTTGCTCAATGAAATCTTTAAAAACACATTTCAAAACACAGTTACCAACTAAATATAACAATACAAATTCAAACAATGTGTTTATTTAAATAACGATGCACCAAATTTTGACCGATACCAACAACCGATAACTGTTCAGGTTTGGTGGCAGATGATCAATATTAGCTAATGAATATGAGCAATTCCATGAAAATGTCAACCTTATCATGAAAAAATAAACTTTTGACCAAAATAACAAAACCTATTTCAATTTGCTTATTAAGGTCTATATTTTATTGTTATGATGTGCTCTTGTTGAATTTTTAAGGAAATTGTTTTGTTTATCCATGAAATATGAGGATTGTGCCAATGCTAATTTTCATTATCATCCAACCACTTTTCGTGCTTTCAAAAAAGGGGTTAAAGACTCACCTTTTCCATGCTTTATGTTAACAGTAATCATTCTGCAGAAGGATTGGAGTCTGTAGTATAAATAATTATCCTTACTTTTTCATAACATTATTGCCCTTTTGATTTATGAGCTACATATTTAAGACATCACGCAGCTTCGGTCACGTGTCACGTCCGTAACGATTTAATGAAAAAGTTTATATTGTGGAATAAATATTATAACAAATAAAATGAAACTTTGTATACAAAGCCAAAATATGTCCATACTAATTATGATCGCCAACTCATCTCAGGTCTTTGCTCTAAACAACCACAATTTTGCGTTACGGACGTGACCATTTTTGAACTCCTTATTAATATAAGCCAATGACTAGCGCATATTCGTTCATTATGATGCTGCATTACAATTACTGACTTACATTACATAACATCCATATGTTATATCAAGAACTGAACATTTCATTTAACTATAAACCACTTTAGTAACATTTCAGAAATAAATGTTTAATAAGAAAACAACATTTTACATATTGCCATAATTGGCCATAATGACTTAACCTTTTTCCTCCGTCTTACTTGCGGTTCATGTGCGCACGCGCTGCCTATAGTGAAAGATAATGACAATGAACCATAAGGCTTTGAACCTATACATTTTGTAAAGTATAGGCTAAGCATATAACAATTTTGTTATGTACATGTGATACTGCATTAATTTGCATAGGCTACATGTTTTATAAGCTGTAAAATGAAAGCATCAGTTTGGTGCGAAGTTATAAAATATTTGTCTTTGTTTGATTTGTAGATTAGGCTATTTAAAATGTATATAAGAACTATTAATAACTGTTATTTTCGAAATGGAAAAAAGGGTGGTTTGTTGATAGTAGTCTGCACTAAATCATGAATATGCCTAGTTGAGTTTATGACGCGGCTCCAGGCAGCACAGACGACCAGGATCAGCGCTGGTTCGTCAACTCCTGTGTCAAACTGTGGCCAGAAAATCCTTCTTTCATTTTGCTTTTTTGGCAAAAAACATCTGTAAGCACGTGTGTTTGCACGTGTTACTGTCATGCGAGTTAACAAATATGTGTTGCTCATAAAAGCCGATCACAACGAACGCGCTTCTTCATTCCAGAGACGTGAGGCGCTCTGCAATGCATTTTATGTTGACAAGAAGAAAAGGAGCACGGTGCTCTTTTGAATGTCACTATAGATAACAACTGAATCAGCTGGTCTATTGTGCGCGAGTGTTGCTGTCAATGTTTTCATAATTGTTTTTTTTTAAATAACATTATGAAATTCAAGATTTGTAAAGTCATACAACTTTGGATGACTTAAAACAGCGACCACAAGTCTCTCCGTCATTAAAAAGTTCGCCGTAGTCATTTTGACACTGCTGTCACCTCCAAGGAAACCCCGCCTCTGCTTTCGTTTGATTGAAGAATGAAAGACGCCACTGAGGTAACATGCTTTTCTTCTGGAGCGCACAAAGCGCGCAATGACAAAACGCGAGGCGCGCAAGGCGCATAATCAATAACCTCCATGCATTTGGTCTTTTCCCACTGCTCAAAATGCGCACGCCGCGGGTCAGGCCACAGCGGAGTTTTCATTTCATGCAGAGCATAAATATGTTTTTTATTTCATTAATTAAATAACTATTTATAAAGATAAATTATCAAAGCGACACAATTTATTTTCCAAGCCCTTTATCCAAAATCTAAGCACTTTCAAAGCTTGAAAACTGGCTATAGCCTACATTAAAATTGAAACATTTTCAAAGATTTCCAGCACCCGGCAAATGCGCTTGAGTGCTTATTAAAATTATTTTAATAAGAATAAAATAAGAATAAAATCTTGATATTGATCTAAGCTTTAACTACATTATATGAGTATTAAATTTGTTAGAAAATCGAAAGGACATGCAGCTGTAAATATTTAATTCAATATTTTACACAATCGGTTATGAACTATAGCCTAAAAATATAAACATTATAGTCATCCATCGTACATGCCTACAACCAATGACTATTTTTCTATGCTTGTTTAACATAGCCTACACAAAACCTTTCTTAAGTTTTAAAGTTTTCTCTCTCACCCTGGTGCGTATGAACTTTTTGCAACCTGTCCTGAAGTGACTGCCGACGAGAAAAAGAAAGCAAGCGCGAGTGGAGAAATTAAATTATTTATTCCATCAGCTAACACATTAACTAGAATAAACTAAAATAAACTTTGTCAAATATAATATTGCCATATCTGTGACAAAACTAGATTTTAAATATTCTCCACGTAAACACGGTCTTGCGCAACAGTCGGGCAATGATTTAATTCAAGTTTGTCTGGAAACACTAACTTTAGGAGCCTGCTAAACATAGGCCCATTATAGCTGATTATGTTTATTATCAATTCTATATTATTCAGAGTATAAAAGCACCATGTTAGCATGCAACATTGTTACCGAATTGAGTTTTGAACATTCGAACGTGCATTAACCTTTAACAACACACATGCCATAATACGAATTAAATATAACAAGGTGATATCTATTTAAGTTTGATTAATTGTGCAACCTTACCATTCAGATGTCTCAGAGGTTAAAGTTTATTGGTTTACACAGCCAACAGATATCCACAAATAGGTCTTTGGTCAAGTTTTGAAAGCATTTATCTGATTTTCGTAATGTGTCAACTGTCAATTTCAGAGCTGTCACGTCCGTAATGAAGACAAGTCACGTCCGTAATGATAGTTTTTCCTCATTAATGCAAAAATGAAAAACTAAATACAATTAATTATATATGTCCCATGCAGAGCCAACCCTTATCCTTTTGACTGTTATATATTTTTTTGTCTTCTGCATTTTCATTCACAGAATTTTCACAAAGTATGTCAACTCACAAAACTCATGTCTTTTTTTTGTCACGTCCGTAACGCATTCATTTTGCCGTCATTTTAAATATAAAACACCTGCATAGACTGATATTTTTTTGATGCCTGAACTCCATGGTTAAGGGGTAAGAAAAATATAAACATATATTTCAATATACTGTTAACATATACCTTCTCTGAGAATATACGTTTCATTTTTTTACTGCAAATGTCACGTCCATAACGCTGGAATCAGCCATATACATTTTTCTTTATTTTTTATATTTTGTCCTAAATTGGCACGTTCTGAGCTACTTTTAGCCTTAAGATGATTTGTGAATATGACAAGTTTCTACACATTTTTAGGATTGTTTGCCTTACCTGGAAGCTTTTGCTCAATGAAATCTTTAAAAACACATTTCAAAACCAACTACACATAACAATACAAATACAAACAATGTTTTTTTATTTTAAATAAGGATGCACCGATTTTTGACTGATACTGACAACCAATAACTTTTTAGATTTGGAGGCCAATAGCCAATATACTAGCGGATAAATAATAATTTTATTTAAATATGGATGCGCTGATATGGAACTTTTGACCCATTCCGATAACCGATATCTCTATAGATTTGGAGGCAGATAGCCGATATATTAGCTGATAAATATACATTATTTAAATATGGACGCACTGATATAGAACATTGACCCATGCTAATAACTGATAAATCTTTAGATTTAAAGGTTGATAGCCGATATATTAGCTAATAAATATGCATTTTTCTGCATGAAGGCAAAAAAATGAAACTCATACACTGAAGAACTGATTTAATCGAAAAAAACTTAACTTCAGAAAAGTTTGAACCGATTTCTAAACTTTAATAATCAATTTTTGCTTTTATAAAAATAAAATCTTCTGCCTGACCTTAAAGAAAATGCAGAAATAAAGCAACCAAGTAACTTAATATTAACCAAAATTTCAATCAAATAATTTAAAAAGTGAGAGGCAGCAAGCATGTGCAGTGGCTTAACCTGCAGAAATAATACATTTATCGGCTATCAGATCATTTTGTTGTCAGACTAATAATGATAAAATTAAAAATATCAGCAACACTTTACAATAAGGTTGTATTAGTTCATGCATTTACTAACATAAGCAAACAATTTTTTACAGTCATGTTTATCAATGAAAACACAGTCATTCATTTTGCCGGTTCAATTTAACTCACGGTGCATTAACTAATGATAAAAAGCTTGAATGTGGATTTTAATGATGCATTAGTAAACATTGAACTTTGATTAATAAATGCTGAACAAGTAATGTTTATAATAAGTTCATGCTAGTTAATACATTAACTAATGAAACCTTATTGTAAAGTGTGAAGATGCGGATTCGCATCATGGCCAGGGCTTCTGTCTACCCAATGACTGTGAGCTCATAACCTCCTCCAGAAGCTTAACCTGGCTGATGGAGGCTTTCAGCGGTGCTTCTGACTGAGCCGAGCCCAGTTTGATGAACTGTTGTCAGTGTGGGCTGGAGGATTTTCCCTCGGGACACCAACAACAGACGCAATGTCATAATCACGCCCCCACAAAAGCAAGCTCCTGATATGGTTAATGTCGGCTTAAGTTTAGATTTTTGAACTCAACCGATTCACACATTAAGCGCGTTCAACACTCAATTCGCACCATGGCATTTGCGCCGTGCCATTCGCGCCATTTACACACATCACGCCGCAGGATGTCTATTCGTTTCTTTGCATTGACTTAACATGTAAATCACTTGTGATTGCCGCTTCTTTCGCGTCTGGTGTTAATGCAGCATTAACCTTAAAAAAAGCTTGCAGTGCTATATTGTCTTGGTTGGTGCTACAAAAACCTTGTAATAATCTCCTAGTCTATTTTCTGTTATTTTACAGACTTATACCTCTATATATTATTTCTTAAACATCATTTCATTTTTTTAAACTACTAAAATGTCAATAAAAGCCACTTTGTTAAACTGATCTTGAATTTTCAACATCAAAAGTTGACAGAGCAGAGATCAACATCCCATAATGCAACTCACAACTGTAAATAAACACTTGTGAATCACAAAATACAGACACTGTCCATTCACAGATATTTGACAGTGTATTGTGCATCCCCAGTTTTTTAATACCTTGTAATTTGCTTATATTTCTGCTCACCTGTGGCTTTCTGCTCGAGGTAATCGCTGAAAACAGATTTGCGCAGGTAGTTAGTAAAGCCCTTTTTCCTCACAAAATGGCAGACCTTCTTCTGCTTGTACAGACAGTTTATAATGAAGCAGGTGTTGATGCTTTTAGGATCTTCTCTGTGCTCCATCAGTGCCAGATTGCAGTTAGGATCATTACAGCAGGCCATAACACAGTCTTCAGGTTTAGAGACTTGAGGAGAGCCTAAAAACGTGGCTCCTTCCTTCACCGATTCATCTGTATTCAACACAAAATCCTCTTTGCCAACACTGAATTTATCCTTGCAGAGTTTCTCTTCTTCTTGAGCCGCAGACGGAGATTGATGGAGAAATAGGAGCAGAAACACTGCCGTGCCGAATAACCTGAGTTGAGCCAGAGTCATCCTCCAAGCCAATATAAACACCACTCAAATCACTTATAAAATGAGGCCAAATCTGAAACAGAACATAATAAAAAATTAAAATCTATGCATATTATTTAGATGGCAATTTATGTGTTTTTTTTAAATCAGAAAATCCATTAAGAATCAAAGGGATTTGTAAACAAATTAACAAAAAATCCACTGAAAATGCTTAGAAATTATTAAAAGTATGAACAAGAAAATATTTAAATATTAAAACCTACAAATATTATTTAAATTGAAATTTATTTTTAATTATGAAATCCATAAAGCATCAATGAGAATTTTCAAAAAAAAATATTAAAAAATCTGAAAAAGAAAATAATAAAATATTAAGACTATATAAATAGTCATATTGCAATGTATTTATTTTTTAAATCATGAAATACTTAAAAAAATTCTTCTAAAAATACTTTCTACAAATTAACAAAAACTCCAATGAAATTGCTTCTGAATTATTCAAAATATGAAAAATATTTAAATATTAAAACCTTTACAATATATACATATTCTTAGTACATTTTATTTAGTAAACACATGAAATCCATAAAGAAACTATAAATTATCCTCCAATTTAACCAAAATTGTGCAGAAATCGCTTATAAATATTTTATATTTATAAATAAATTAAACTATAGGAATATAGAAATTAAATAAGAAAATAAATTGAAACCACTTAAATTATTTTAAAAAATCTAAAGAAAATCTGAGAAAAAGACTTTCAATAAAATGTCTAAATAATAAGAATTATATTACATATTATAATACATAAATGATTTAAAAAAAGTCTGAATATAAGAGATGACTTTTAACACTGAAACTTTTAAATAACATGTTTATTTATGTATATCATGCCTGTGCAGAATGATTAAATGAATTAAGAATACAAAAGGAGCCATTCTCCATAATTGTACATCTACAAAAGATTTAAAAACAACCTAAAAAAAGACAAACTTTTAAACATTACAACTTACAGATAATACTTATATTTTAAATATCTGGTAGAATTCCCAGATAACACCCATACAGAAACTGAAAATAATCTCAAAATATAACGACTTGGTCTGCCAGTGAACAAATCATTTACTTTTTACTATTAATTACACAAAACCAAAACAAGAATTTAAGGGAATCATATATATATACTGAATTTGACACTATATAATTACTGAATATGACAGAATCCACCAATAATACTTAAAAGTCAAACTAATCTGGATGATAACTCAATTATATCTTAGCATAAACCAACAAATATGATCAATTGTGAAAACTGGGCCACTATTATTACAAGAAGACAGACAAAATCCCTAATATCACCTTATATTCCATTAATAAGTCTTAAAACCAATCTTAGAAGTTTGAAACATATATATAATAAACCCAAACACATAACATCCACTCGAAAAAGAAAACTTAAACATCACAACTTACAGACAATACTTATATCTTTAAATATCTGGTAGAATTACTAAATAACACCCATACAGAAACTGAAAATAATTCTTAAAAAGTAAGACTTGGTCTGAAAATAAACAAAAATTAGACAAAACCAAAACAAGAATGTGAGAGAATCAAACACACACACACACACACACACACACACACACACATATATATATATATATATATATATATATATATATATATATATATATGTGTGTGTGTGTGTGTGTGTGTGTGTGTGTGTGTGTGTGTG